AACCCTAAGTCAACACAATGTGACGGAGGTAGTTCAAAGTCAACTCAATGACACGAGCCAAACTCAATTCATCAGCTGTAGACTCGAGACTCCGACGACGGCCAAGCGATAAACGCAGCGCCGGAAGGATTTTGACTATTCATCAAAGCACTGGATAGACTGAAAATCGAAGGAGCCAAGAGTTGAAGCTAACTACAGGTCCTTTACGCCGATTGAAGGCTGGATCAATCACATCCAAAGTATTCCAGCCTCTTCTATAAAAGAAACGAGTCCGGAACGCTTTGGAGGGGGTATCTGTAGGCATCGAAAATTGCCTATAGGTCTCTACAAACAGCTCGGTGTTAAGGAATGACGATGAACGTCACTATCCGGTTCACAGGAGTTCGATTGACGTCAGTGAATGCTTGAAGTGAATCGATGAACTACGTGAGCTGACAGAATTCCGGAATAACGAAGGTGCGGGCTAATCGGGAGCCCCGCAATGTTTATAAAAGGAACAATGTCCTTCGTGTCTCATTCATTCTATAGATAATCCAACCATTGAAGCTGATAGAGCTCCTTGTTGGATTTCCAACGCATTTGGAATCACTCAGATCCGGGTTCAGACAAAGAAGTTACAGCGAAAACAGTCAAACGGGCATTGAAAACGTCTCAAAGCTGAACTAAGGCACCTACGGTGTCTCGGCCAAGTCAAGACACCCCAAGGGTGTCTCGGCCAGGCCAAGACACCCCTAGGGTGTCTCAGCGCGGATTTGACCCTTTTAAGCGGTTTTAACCGCTCCGCAATCCCTCATGCCTATAAATACAAGCCTTAGGCCTCATTTTTTCAGATCTGGAATTTTGGAGAATTGGCGAAGCCCTGCCGGAGTGAAGAGTGATCGAGCACTTCAACGCAAGAGAGTTTCTTCGTCAGATCTACATCACCCGTACCCGATCCTTAGTATTATCCCGTTGTGGTAATACTAAGAAGAGCAAATATCTCGCTTTTATCGAGATAGGCGCTTCAAGTTTCTAGATCTCCTCGCGGATCGACGAAGCTCTGGATCAGATCTGATTGCCAGGTAGTCCACGGATATCGACGTCCCCGTCACAGGCTAAAGACCCACGCAAGCAAGAGACGACGAACGGATCTTGTGTTTATTTTCAAGAAAGTTGTAATTTTTATTTCTTTGTTGTTTGGATTCATTTGTAACGTTTGAAGTTTTAATGAAATTAATGATGAAGGCAACTTTCGACGAAAACAAAGCCTGAATATGAAGAAATATAAGAGCAGTAAAATAAAGATAAAAACGAATCCTTACCTTGTTCGGCGGAAGAAGCACTATGATCAGACGTCTCCTCTAAAGCAGAAAGACGAACACGTGGCTTAGAAACAGCTTTCTTTCGTATTTTTAGTGGACGCGCTTCATCCTGGGCTCCAGATCCTTCATGACGATATTTGGTGCGTAATTCAGTTCTGGGAGGGACCTGGGTTTGAACTTGAGTGGAAGATTGCGATCTTGCCGATGAGTGAGAGGCACTGTATCCTCTTCATCCTCTTCATTCCCACTGTGAACCTCTACCGTCATCCGGTTGGGATAAGTTATAACGACTCTCTCCCTCCTTCTTTTCGGAGCATTCTGTGGTTGGGTGGGCACAGCAGAAGGGCGTACAAGTCCTCTTTCAAAGAAAGAATCAGGAAGACCAGTTGCCTCCTCGGAACTTGAACCAGTTTCACCTTCCTCCTCAGAGGTTTCTGTTTCCTCAGAATCAAACTCTTCTTCGCTACCAGTTGGGAGGGCCGGTTCCTTCCCTTTTCTTGAAGATTCATCAGCCTCTTTTCCTCGGGGCGACATCACAGCTTCACGGGTCACTTCTGTTGCTTGCCGTGGAGCTACCTCTTCCTCTGAGTCTGATATTCTCCTACGTCGAGTGACAATATCGGCGGTTATCAACCACTTGCAATACAGGAAGGTCATCCATAAAGGTGCTACTTCTAAAGGGAGATCAAATTCAGCATTTGTGCAGCCGGCAATGCTCCAAAACCAAGCTCTCGCCCCGTCAATAAGTCCACCTCGAAAGCTAAGGTGACAATTCGGGTTGCCGATATATATTTGGTCATAGCCGAATTGACGAGCAAATCGACATGAAAGATAGGGCTCAATGTGACAAACATCTCTTACCCTGAACAATAGATATCCAGGTCGAATGTTCATCAACCATCGGAAACACCCGACGTCCAAGATGGTATGATTCTGCCTTGGGTCTTCAGCATCACCCGACGTCCAAGATGGTATGATTCTGCCTTGGGTCTTCAGCATCTAATAAAGTCGTATTGTACGTACTGGAGAATCGAGGGAAGCAGGGGAAGAATTCCCAACACTTGTGGATTTTGAACTGCCTCGTTATGTCCGGCCATCGATGTTTGACCCATTTGCAACCCTCAAGGGTCTGTAAAAGAGGAAGACTAGGATCCACCGTCTTAGGAGTCTCCATTAAATCTGGCCGGTGAAGAACCAACCATGTCATCAAATAAGTGTAGGGTAATTCTAGCTTCGGACCATGTCATCAAATAAGTGTAGGGTAATTCTAGCTTCGGAGCGGATATACTGGCGGAAGGTTTCTTTTCTCGTGTGTGAATACGGAAACTAACTGCCGTTATCCACTGTGAATAGCCGCGACCATAGCAGGAAGCAAGGATAATTTGCGACCTGTAGCCAACTGGACGGCTGGATACAACACTTCTATTGGCATAGCATCAGAGGACTGGTGGGGAACTACACACCTTTTCAACCATAAGGCCAGAAAGCCAGCCAGCAGGGTGGTAGAATGAATCGGGACACCAGCTTGCCACAGATAAGAGCGGAATTTAGTGCCGTGTAAAAATCCATCTTCTGAGCGCGAGGTATAAGATTGCGCGTTGGTTTTCCCTAACAGGCGATTGATTTCATCAGTACTCGATCATCCAAGTTCTTGAACAGGTAATCGGCGAATTGTTTTAAGCTGATCTGGAGAGATTTCTTCCTAGCTTTACTCTCCATCTCAGCCATAGCTATGTGATAATGACAAGTCGGTTCCCATAGAGTGTCATGGGTCATAGTTGATCGATCTTTCATCTTATTCAACTGACTGGCAGTGGGGAAGAATTCTTGATACGGGACATCACCTATGGGTAAACCGGAAACCTTCATCATTTCGTGTAATGGTAATCCGAGCTCTCCATTCTTGGTGAAAAATGTGTTGGTGTCAGGGTTATAAATATTGAATAAACAGAGGAAATGACCCACACTGATCTGCAGACCATACATTGTAGCCCGGATCGGGACTGACAACCCTAGTTCTACTAATTCTCGTCCCCAACGGTTCAACACATATTGAGTCATTCTGGTCCACCACTTGTTTCCAAAATAATAGACCCATCCATAGCATCTGAAGTTCTGGTTGGATAGTTTCTTCTTCACTGCAGCTAAACGATTCTTCACGATGTTTGCATGTGCTGTCGTTTCATTCTGTGGAATATTATCCTGACCTAAGATGCCTGGATGAAGTCCCCGCACAGAAGCTCTTTCACTGGAACCTGGGGTGGCCTCCTTCCTAATGAAACCACAATGAATACGTTCGTGGTTTTTGGTTAACCTCCAGAACATTTCACGTCCAACAGATAGGTTTCTGAACTTCAAGAGTGAATGCTCCCGAGGAATCCAGGGCAAATACAGGAATAAAGGGCCGCTCTCATGCAACCACAGTGCAGGTCTACAAGAAACGATCTCCGGATCCTTTACGGAGTC